AAGTGCAAATGTGAAACATGCCTGCACGTTCCTTTGAGCTGCTCAGAGAGATTTGCCTCTTACATGACACACACACAGCCTGTCGGGATCACTGGCTGGAGGAACGTCCCATTTACAGAAACTAACGCAACTTCTAGCCCAGTTTCCTCAAACTTTTAATTGTCTTCACGTTTTCCATATCTAGCCTCCCAGGGGCTTCCCCCTCCCTGGCCACACTCAAATTAGCTTGTCCAGAAACCAAGCACAAACACCACACAATGCTGCTGGAAGCGGACAGCCATTTCCAAGAGGACGGAGGTGGACAGGACAGGCAAGAGCAAGCCACATGCAACAGGAGGAGGAATAGAATGGATGGTGGTTGGCACCAATGTTTAGCCTTTACTCTCTGAGCTACCAGGCAGCTGCCCCATCATCACCTATCACTGATGATCCACAGAGTGCCCCAGGCCAGTGGATTTAGGCGGGAGGGTGGCCTTCTGAGTACAAAACTGGGAAAAGTGTTAGATTTGCTAGAAATAAATAAGCCACTAGTAATAAAACACAAACCAACCCCTCCATACCTTGACAACAGTTAGGTAGTTGGTGTGCTGAGACAATTGTCTAACATGCTTAGCTGTATTATCTCATTGTCTCCTCGTGCTTCCCCACCTGTCGTCTCTTGTCTTACACTTCTGTTGTAAGCTCCTTGGGTCATGGACCCTTTTTTTTTTTTGTTCTGTTTGTACAGCGCCCAGCATAATGAGGTCCTGGTTAAGGACTGGAACGCTGGGGTAACACACACAAATATAGCAACAACAAATCGCACATACAAAAATCTTATAGAAACTAAAACTTCATATATGATCAAATAATGACTTTCTCCATCTTCAATGCCTCTTTTTTTCAAGTCTTTTCCACATTCTGGATTTTCCCCACCCATGTTTCTCTATCCTTTGGCATCATTTGTTCGTGTTTCAGTTTGGCTTTTCCCCTCTCAAATGCCTGGACATAGCAAAACACTTAGGTAGGTGGTTAACTTTAAGCATGTGAGCAATTCCACTGACTTTCAACAGGAAGACTCATATGCTTCAGGCTAAGCACATGCTGGGTCCCAACCTAATCACCCCTCTTAGTTTTCTTTTCTGATCTGACCTGTCTCCCACTGTCTCCATTTCCCTTTAATATTCTTCCTTTCACTCGCCTTCCTCCCCACCATTAGCCATCTCCCCCTCCATTCTGAGCATAGAAATACAACCAGCAGTGAGCAGAGGGATGACCAAAATCAGACCAGCCAACGCTATGGGTTTGCCCCACAGACTATACGCTTATAGACTTCCCCAAAGGAGGTCTGCACCCGATTCACTGCCCTGCCCTATTCCCTTGCTTGCCTCCTGGAAAGGGCAGCAAATCAGAGCAGCTGCATGTGCTGAGGAGCAGGTCAGTCTCCCAATATTTGGAGGTGGGAGTGCTCCTGTCGCAATCAGTTTTCCCTGGGTACTCCAAGCCAGCTGGAGAGCACCGGCAGGCTCCTAGGGGTGGGATACAAGGTCTTGTTCAGTAATAAGGGCTATGAAGTACATGAAACAGAGACAAAATCTGAGGCCATGGTCTCTTCCTCAAAGCATTTTCCCACAGGCTACAGCACATTTGGTGGAAGTCTGTTCCTCCTCCCCTTGCCTGCCTTTGTGATGCAGTGAAACAGGCAGCCTGATTCAGCCGGAGTGGAATGTCCTGCAAAATCCAGGATGCTTGAGTTGTCCAGACAAGGCTCTCTCCTGCTTTACAGGCATGAGTTAGTACAGTACCCCTGGGAGCTGGGTCTGTATCACTATCCCTGCTGTAGTGAGTTACAGGGAGGATATGTGCCTTGCCTAAGGCTAGAGAGTAAGTCATTAGCAGAGCTGGGAATGGCACTCAGGAGTCCAGACTCCCCCCTCTATTGCCTTCGCCAGGAGACAGCACCTCCCAGGTCCTCTGCATACTGCTCACAGATCCGCTTCCCAAGAGTAGAAGAGCATGCCTGCAGCTCATTGACTAGGGAAGCGATTGAAACAAAACTCTCTTTACAGTCCTTTCCATCTCATAGAACAGACTTAATTGCTCCCATTACAGTTAGTAAATTGACAGATGGTATCACAAACAACTTCCAAGGAAGAAGCTTCTGAATTATAACTGGGTCTGCCCGGAGCTTCCCATGCCCCAGTGGAGGTTTCTTTCGGGATTAACCCATTACTCACCACTGATGCAGCTGGGGAGAAATGGAAGGGCTAGTGCTAGGGATTGGGGAGGATAATATTCCACTGGGTCCCAGCCAGCAGCTCACAGCAGACATACCCAGTGCATTGCATGGTGCTGCATCTACCTCCCAGCTCACTGTGGTATATTGGGGGCCTTATCCAAGCGAAATCAATGGGAGTCTTTCCATTGACTTCAGTGGGCACTGGCTCAGGTGCTGAGTCAGCTACGAAGCAGGGAATGGAACAGAACAAGCCACTTGGACTGAGGAGTAGTGCCCGGCCATCCACTCCCCTCACACAATTCTGCTGACACTGCCTTTGCAGCCACGGGGCCAAATTCTTTGCTGGCAGAAGCCGGTGTGATGCCACTGACTCGAATGGTGTTTTGCCCGCTAATGCCAGGGCTGAATATGGCCCATGGATGTAGCTGGGCTGCATCCCTACAGCCTGAATCCGCACTCACACTGCATGAGCGCCCCAAGGTGCGAGTGGCCTGGCAAGAACACACACCCAGAAAAATGCTCATTGGGGGGCACCCGGCAATAGCTGCTCATCTTCCTGCAGCTGCTCAGCATTCCAGAACTGGACCTGAAATCCGCAGGCATAGACACACCTTCAAACGCACGCTGGAGATGGCAAGAGCTGGATTGGTCAGCTCAGCCCAGGAGCATCCGCAGCATGTGACCCTGTCTGCATGGGAAGAGTTCTTGCCTTCAGCAGGCTTTTGAATTAAGGCCCTCGAAAGATTTCCTCCCTCTGCTGTCAGTTAACAGCCATTTTACCACATTGAGCTGACAGGGAATCACAGGTAATGCCCATCCCTCATTCCTGTTAGGGGATCTTGGCCCTCTCAGCCAACAATGCAGGGTTGTTTCCTAAAGATGACGGCTATTGTTTAGATTATGGTAACATTTAGAGGCCCAGCTGAGATCAAAGCCCCACTGTGCTGGGCACTGCAAACACACATAGTAAGAGAGAGTCCCTACCCTGATGAGTGTATAGTCTAAACAGACAGGACAGACAAAGGAAGCACTATTAACCCCATGCTACATATAGGGAACTAGGCACAGGGATTAAGCCACTTACTCAGCGTCACACCAGAAGTCTATGGAAGAATCAGGAACCAAACACAGATTTTCTTTGTTCCAGGTCAGCGCCTCAAGCCACAGGACCATCCTTCATCTCCCAACAGTGATAACACACTTTTCTTATGAACACAGTCTCATGCCTCAAACAAGTGTGACACGAATCATCAATTGTCTACAACAGCCCAAGATAGCCCTGAAGTAAGCAGACGCACCTCACGCTTGGACAGACAGACTCCACATCTGAGGAAGGGGCTGGAAAACACCAGTACAAGTGCCCCGGGAACTGACCAATGCCTAGTTCTTGCCTGTAACTAAATAGGAAGGAAGGAAGCCCATGCTAGAGGAATCATGCAATGTGCGCCCAGCATTTGCTAGATAAAAGCGATCCCCAGAACAAACCGATCATACTCTAAGTTCACAGAGAAGTGCAATCTAGCTTTGGACAGCTGCCGTTCAGGGGCACTCACCCAGCCCTAGAAGCAGCCAAGCTACAGCAGAAATGAATGTTGATTTGTCGCAAGCAAGCAGGAGTCCTGGAAGCTGTAGCTGTCAATTTCAGCATCAGAGTCTGCATTTGCAAGCGCCGTGATATTTCTGCCTCTGCTTGTTTGGGTGGTGGAACTGTACGTGGTGGAGAGATGGCTGGGACAGCATCAGAGGCTGTGTAATTTATTAAAGGAACAGGAGCCTTGGGGATTGTTCCCTTGAGTCAAGCACACCCAGTCCACAGATTGCACACCCCCCCCCCCCGCCGCATCCCTTGTTTCAGCACCTATGGTTTTTGATGTCATGGAGACATGACCTCCAGGGTTGTTCATGTTTGGAGGGACATGGAAACATACATGTGATGAGTTAGTTGTGCCCAAGGATACGCTGCAAAATGTGGGGTGACCCTTGAACAGCCGGTATTTGGGGTCTCCTATATTGTATAACTTGCTACTAACCCATTTCTGCCCTAGCAGAGGAGATGCAGAATGTCCCACATGGTGCAAACTTGCCCCTACTGGCAAATTTTGAAATAAAGAGTCTTTCTACAGTGCACTACCAGTGAAGGTCACCAGTGCAGACCTGCAACCTCCTTCCCAGCTGGATAAAGCTGCTCCTTCTCCAACTCAAAATGTAAATTTCTTCATTCAAACTAGATTCGTTCAGGTTCCATCATGGGCAATTAGGACTGGGACAAGAGTGTGATTCTGCATTTGCGAACTCCTTTGCCTATCGGTTTTATGGCAGGAGTGACCATGCGTTGAGAACCTACCCCAATTCTTCAAAAAATGAGATTACATTACATTATATACCGTGAGCTTGGCGGTAATGTTGTAGCCATTCCAAGCACTAGGAGGCCCTAAGTTGCAGTAATCACTACGCCAACTGCTTCCAGCTATCATACTCCTCCCAGGGCTCCAAGACGCGCTGCTTCTGTGGCCCACTCCTCATCCATCCATCCATCCATCCACCCGGACCTTACTGACTCGTGCTGCCCTATCATCCTCCTGTCAGAAAAGAAGAGCAGCAGGAGATGCACCCTCAGATTTGACCCCTGACTGCTCAGCCAATTTGCTGCAAGGAGGTTGAGATCTAGCTTTTCAGAGGTCGGTATAACATGAACAACGACTAGTCCCATACACATTTCCCTTAACACACACACACACACACCCCTCCAAAAATGCTGCAAGAGAAGGTGACAGACACTTACCCTGGAAATGCCAATGATTTGTTCATCTGGGAGCAAGCTGATACGCACAAAGCAAGACTCAAAGTTGACGTCCTCCTTCTCCAGGAGGTCCTTCCCTTGCAGCAGCGTGACGTGCAGGGTGTTGGAGAACACATCGTACTCCATGTTGACTTCCACCTGGCCCACAGTGAAGTCTTGGCCAAAGTTATTCCCAATGGAGGAGATGGAGCTGAGGGAGTCAGTGGATACAGATCTCTTCAGTAGCCCGAATGGACCCAGATCTAGGTCTTTGCTCATCAACTCTAAGGTACCCAGCTCATTGATGTTCTCAAAGGTGTCATCCATCTTCAGGCGGGGCTTGCGGACAGGGGACGTCCTTTCCGCTGCCTTTCGGAAGTTTGAGGCTCCCCCCCTCTGCAGACATAGAAAAGGATAGAAGAGGCACTCAGGTTGCATTAACCCCTTCTCCTCTGAACTATTTCTTACTACATGTGAAACAAAGCATATGGGGCTCTTAAGTGCTAAGGGGTCTAAATATGCAATTGCCATGGGATATGAAGGTGATTCCTTAACAAGAAGATCTACAGCATTAGGCTGTGGTACAGTCTCCCAGGACAAGTGCTTAGGTCATTTAAGAGAGACTAGATAACGCACTAGATACGGTATATGATATGAAAGCCCTTCCCGTCCCTTATTTCTCCCTTTCTCGTTTTGCTGCAGGGTAATTTTTCATTAGTCAACTAAGTGACACCTTAGTTATCTGTAAATATAAATATTCAAAAATCATTTTTGAAAGCTTTCCATTTTGGAACAAAAAAAAAGATGATGAAAAAGGTACAAAAAATGAAAAATAATTAATTTAAAAAACCAACCAAAAATTTGAAATTTTTTCCACAAATCCGTCCCCCTTCTGTTTTTTTGGCCACCTCGAATACATAACATGTACCACTGCCCCCTACTGGGTGAACTATATTTGCTCAAGTGTCTGATTATGTTACCCAATAGCATTTAGTCCATAAATAAGGAAATTTTACACCATCTCTTAAGTGCCTAAGCAGCTTCGGAGCCTAAGTTGCATTTTCAAAGTGATTTAGGCACTTAGAAGCCTAAATCCCATTGACTTTCCATTAGACTTTGGCTCCTAAGTCACTTAGGTACTACTGAAAAAGTTGTCAGTAGTATTAGGACCTATAGCTAACAAAGAGAGAGTCTCATCTGAAATAGTGTGTGCAGTTCTGATCACCCAAGTTCAAGAAAGATGAATTCACACTGGAACAGGTGCAGAGAAAAGCGAACAGGATGATCCGAGAAGACTAAAAAGAGTGGGACTGAGAAGGGATATGAGTGCTCGCTATGAATCCATCCGAGGGGTAAACAGCAGGGAGAGAGACAAGCTATTTAAACTAAAGGCTGATATTGGCACAAGAACAAATGGGTATAAAACTGGCCATGAATAAATGCAGACTGGAAAGTAGAAGGTTTCTAACCATCAAAGGAGTGAGGTTCTGGGGCAGCCTTCCCTTAGGAGTAGTAGGGGCACACAACCTAAGTGGTTTTGTGATGAAGCTTGGTAAGTTCCTTAACAGGATTAGATGACAGAATTGCCTGCAATCTCAGGGGACTGGATTTGAGGACTGGAAGGGACCTATTGGGTCATATTTTCCTTTAGCTCAGGTCTAGGACAAGTACCTTCCCAACCTTGTCTGTATGAAAGGTGATGCAAAGCAATCATTTTGTGGCTCTGCCACGTAACTGTTCATTGTACCCCACACATGATCCAGCCACCCCACCAATTCTCTTGCAGGTTTCCTGATTCTAATAGATGTAAACAACATTGTGTGATTTGTTTTATCATCTTTGGCTATTAGCTCTTCAAATTTCTTCATCGCCTTCCTAATTTTCTTCTTGCATTTTTCTGCTGTGGTTTATGCTGCTTTCTAGTGACTTCACTGGGGTTGGAGTTTCTGAAGTCTTCCTCTGTTTGAGACCTTGCTGAGGAAATCAAAGGATTGAGCTGATTATGTTCTCCATAGAATCATAGAATATCAGGGTTGGAAGGGACCCCTGAAGGTCATCTAGTCCAACCCCCTGCTCGAAGCAGGACCAATTCCCAGTTAAATCATCCCAGCCAGGGCTTTGTCAAGCCTGACCTTAAAAACCTCTAAGGAAGGAGATTCTACCACCTCCCTAGGTAACGCATTCCAGTGTTTCACCACCCTCTTAGTGAAAAAGTTTTTCCTAATATCCAATCTAAACCTCCCCCACTGCAACTTGAGACCATTACTCCTCGTTCTGTCATCTGCTACCATTGAGAACAGTCTAGAGCCATCCACTTTGGAACCCCCTTTCAGGTAGTTGAAAGCAGCTATCAAATCCCCCCTCATTCTTCTCTTCTGCAGACTAAACAATCCCAGCTCCCTCAGCCTCTCCTCATAAGTCATGTGTTCCAGACCCCTAATCATTTTTGTTGCCCTTCGCTGGACTCTCTCCAATTTATCCACATCCTTCTTGTAGTGTGGGGCCCAAAACTGGACACAGTACTCCAGATGAGGCCTCACCAATGTCGAATAGAGGGGAACGATCACGTCCTCGATCTGCTCGCTATGCCCCTACTTATACATCCCAAAATGCCATTGGCCTTCTTGGCAACAAGGGCACACTGCTGACTCATATCCAGCTTCTCGTCCACTGTCACCCCTAGGTCCTTTTCCGCAGAACTGCTGCCTAGCCATTCGGTCCCTAGTCTGTAGCGGTGCATTGGGTTCTTCCGTCCTAAGTGCAGGACCCTGCACTTATCCTTATTGAACCTCATCAGATTTCTTTTGGCCCAATCCTCCAATTTGTCTAGGTCCTTCTGTATCCTATCCCTCCCCTCCAGCGTATCTACCACTCCTCCCAGTTTAGTATCATCCGCAAATTTGCTGAGAGTGCAATCCACACCATCCTCCAGATCATTTATGAAGATATTGAACAAAACCGGCCCCAGGACCGACCCTTGGGGCACTCCACTTGATACCGGCTGCCAACTAGACATGGAGCCATTGATCACTACCCGTTGAGCCCGACAATCTAGCCAGCTTTCTACCCACCTTATAGTGCATTCATCCAGCCCATACTTCCTTAACTTGCTGACAAGAATACTGTGGGAGACCGTGTCAAAAGCTTTGCTAAAGTCAAGAAACAATACATCCACTGCTTTCCCTTCATCCACAGAACCAGTAATCTCATTGTAAAAGGCAATTAGATTAGTCAGGCATGACCTTCCCTTGGTGAATCCATGCTGGCTGTTCCTGATCACCTTCCTCTCATGCAAGTGCTTCAGGATTGATTCTTTGAGGACCTGCTCCATGATTTTTCCAGGGATTGAGGTGAGGCTGACTGGCCTGTAGTTCCCTGGATCCTCCTTCTTCCCTTTTTTAAAGATTGGCACTACATTAGCCTTTTTCCAGTCATCCAGGACTTCCCCGGTTCGCCACGAGTTTTCAAAGATAATGGCCAATGGCTCTGCAATCACAGCCGCCAATTCCTTCAGCACTCTCGGATGCAACTCGTCCGGCCCCATGGACTTGTGCACATCCAGCTTTTCTAAATAGTCCCTAACCACCTCTCTCTCCACATCTCTTCCCCATTTTGTGATGCCCAGCGCAGCAGTCTGGGAGCTGACCTTGTTAGTGAAGACAGAGGCAAAAAAAGCATTGAGTACATTAGCTTTTTCCACATCCTCTGTCACTAGGTTGCCTCCCTCATTCAGTAAGGGGCCCACACTTTCCTTGGCTTTCTTCTTGTTGCCAACATACCTGAAGAAACTCTTCTTGTTACTCTTGACATCTCTCGCTAGCTGCAGCTCCAGGTGAGATTTGGCCCTCCTGATTTCATTCCTACATGCCCGAGCAATATTTTTATACTCTTCCCTGGTCATATGTCCAACCTTACACTTCTTGTAAGCTTCTTTTTTATGTTTAAGATCCGCTAGGATTTCACTATTAAGCCAAGCTGGTCGCCTGCCATATTTACTATTCTTTCGACTCATCGGGATGGTTTGTCCCTGTAACCTCAACAGGGATTCCTTGAAATACAGCCAGCTCTCCTGGACTCCTTTCCCCTTCAAGTTAGTCCCCCAGGGGATCCTGGCCATCCGTTCCCTGAGGGAGTCGAAGTCTGCTTTCCTGAAGTCCAGGGTCCGTATCCTGCTGCTTACCTTTCTTCCCTGCGTCAGGATCCTGAACTCAACCAACTCATGGTCACTGCCTCCCAGATTCCCATCCACTTTTGCTTCCCCCACTAATTCTACCCGGTTTGTGAGCAGCAGGTCAAGAAAAGCGCCCCCCCAGTTGGCTCCTCTAGCACTTGCGCCAGGAAATTGTCCCCTACGCTTTCCAAAAACTTCCTGGATTGTCTATGCACCGCTGTATTGCTCTCCCAGCAGATATCAGGAAAATTAAAGTCACCCATGAGAATCAGGGCATGCGATCTAGTAGCTTCCGTGAGTTGCTGAAAGAAAGCCTCATCTACCTCATCCCCCTGGTCCGGTGGTCTATAGCAGACTCCCACCACTACATCACTCTTGTTGCACACACTTCTAAACTTAATCCAGAGACACTCAGGTTTTTCTACAGTTTCGTACCGGAGCTCTGAACAGTCATACTGCTCCCTTACATACAGTGCTACTCCCCCACCTTTTCTGCCCTGCCTGTCCTTCCTGAACAGTTTATATCCATCCATGACAGTACTCCAGTCATGTGAGTTATCCCACCAAGTCTCTGTTATTCCGATCACGTCATAGTTCCTTGACATCACCAGGACCTCCAGTTCTCCCTGCTTGTTTCCAAGGCTTTGTGCATTTGTATATAAGCACTTGAGATAACCTGTTGATCGCCCCTCATTCCCAGTATGAGGCAGGAGCCCTCCCCTCACAGACATTCCTGCCTGTGCTTCCTCCCGGTATCCCGCTTTCCCACTTACCTCAGGGCTTTGGTCTCCTTCCCCCGGTGAACCTAGTTTAAAGCCCTCCTCACTAGGTTAGCCAGCCTGCTCGCAAAGATGCTCTTCCCTCTCTTCGTAAGATGGAGCCCGTCTCTGCCCAGCACTCCTCCTTCATGGAACACCATCCCATGGTCAAAGAATCCAAAGCCTTCTCTCCGACACCACCTGCGTAGCCATTCGTTGACTTCCACAATTCGACGGTCCCTACCCAGGCCTTTTCCTTCCACGGGGAGGATGGACGAGAACACCACTTGCGCCTCCAACTCCTTTATCCTTCTTCCCAGAGCCACGTAGTCCGCAGTGATCCACTCAAGGTCATTCTTGGCAGTATCATTGGTGCCCACGTGGAGAAGCAGGAAGGGGTAGCGATCCGAGGGCTTGATGAGTCTCGGCAGTCTCTCCGTCACATCGCGAATCTTAGCCCCCGGCAAGCAGCAGACTTCTCGGTTTTCCCGGTCAGGGCGGCAGATAGATGACTCAGTCCCCCGGAGGAGAGAGTCCCCGACCACCACCACCCGCCTTCTCCTCTTGGGAGTGGTGGTCGTGGAACCCCCAACCTCAGGACATCGCATCTCATGCCCTCCATATTGATCTGTCTTTATAAAAGCTTGATGGCTGGTGGGAATGTTTAGCGACCTATTTCAGAGTAGCAGCCGTGTTAGTCTGTATCCACAAGAAGAACAGGAGTACTTGTGGCACCTTAGAGACTAAAATTTATTTGAGCATAAGCTTTCGTGGGCTACAGCTCACTTCATTGGATGCATAGAATGGAACATATAGTAAGAAGATTATATATATATATATATATATACACATATATACACACACACACACACATATATACACACACATACATACACACACACACACAGAGAACATGAAAAGGTGGAGTAAGAGGCTAATTAATTAAGAAGAGCTATTATCAGCAGGAGAAAAAAAACTTTTGTAGTGATAATCAAGATGGCCCATTTCAGACAGTTGACAAGAAGGTGTGAGGATACTTAACATGGGAAAATAGATTCAATGTGTAATGACCCAGCCACTCCCAGTCTCTATTCAAACCCAAGTTAATGGTATTTAGTTTGCATATTAATTCAAGCTCAGCAGTTTCTCATTGGAGTCTGTTTTTGAAGCTTTTCTGTTACAAAATTGCCACCTTTGAATCCATGCTTTGTGTGTATATAAAAAGATCTTCTACACTTTGAACAGTATGCATCCAATGAAGTGAGCTGTAGCTCACGAAAGCTTATGCTCAAATAAATTGGTTAGTCTCTAAGGTGCCACAAGTACTCCTTACCTTTAAGTCTGTTACTGAGTGACCAGAGTGGTTGAAGTGTTCTCCTACTGGTTTTTGAATGTTATGATTCCTGATGTCAGATTTGTGTCCATTTATTCTTTTGCATAGAGACTGTCCGGCTTGGCCAACGTACATGGCAGAGGGGCATTGCTGGCACATGATGGCAAATATCACATTGGTAGATGTGCAGGTGAACGAGCCCCTGATGGCGTGGCTAATGTGATTAGGTCCTATGATGGTGTCACTTGAATAAATAGGTGGACAGAGTTGGCATCGGGCTTTGTTGCAAGGATAGGTTCCTGGGTTAGGGTTTTTGTTGTGTGGTTGCTGGAGAGTATTTGCTGCAGGTTGGGGTGCTGTCTGTAAGCGAGGAAGATCGGTGAGAGTAAGGGATTATTTTTCAGGATAGGTTGTAGATCTTTGATGATGCGCTGGAGAGGTTTTAGTTGGGGGCTGAAGGTGACGGCTAGTGGCGTTCTGTTATTTTCTTTGTTGGGCCTGTCCTGTAGTAGGTGACTTCTGGGTACTCTTCTGGCTCTGTCAATCTGTTTTTTCACTTCAGCAGGTGGGTATTGTAGTTGTAAGAACACTTGATAGAGATCTTGTAGGTGTGTCTCTGTCTGAGGGATTGGAGCAAATGCAGTTGCATCTTAGAGCTTGGCTGTAGATAATGGATCATGTGGTGTGTCCCGGATGAAAGCTGGAGGCATGTAGGTAAATATAGCGGTCAGTAGGTTTCCGATATAGGGTGGTGTTTATGTGACCATCGCTTATTAGCACAGTAGTGTCCAGGAAATGGACCGCTTGTGTGGATTGGTCTACACAAGCGGTCCATTTCCTGGACACTACTGTGCTAATTAATTAACTAGCCTCATACTCCACCTTTTCACGTTCTCTGTATGTGTATATCTCTTCTTACTATATGTTCCATTCTATGCATCCGATGAAGTGGGCTGTAGCCCACGAAAGTTTATGATCAAATAAATTTGTTAGTCTCTAAGGCGCCACAAGTACTCCTGTTCTTTTAGCAACCTAGTCACACTGAACAGGAAGGGCTTTTACCTTGTGTTTGATGTCCGAATATGTAGTCCCATACTTTTGTTCCAGGTATCGGTAGTTGTAATTGGGAAATGGAGACGGTGCTGGATAATTCCCAGACTTCCATAGTTTCCACAGGTTTAGTCCAGCGATTCCCAGCAGAACAAGTGCGCCAGTCACATAGATACCTATTTCCCACCCGTGTGGACTCCTTATAACTAGAAGAGAGGAGAGTTATTGTCAGGAGTGGGGTCCAGGGGCAGAAATATTAAACCTCATGTTTCAGAGCTTAAACCAATCTCTCAGTGATGAGGATGAGAACTAATGTGTGGCAGATTATCCCGCATCTGCCTGCCGCAGGGTTTCTTACACCTTCCTCTGCAGCATCTGGTGCTGGCCACAGTCAGAGCCAGGATACTGGACCAGAAGGACCTTGGGTCTGATCCAGTCTGGCAATTCCTGGACAATCTATCTAGCGATAGCATTTAACTTCAGAGCAATAGTGCCAGGCTTTTACTGGGGAACTCTGCTAAGTAAACTCATAAAGAGGATTAGGTATCATCATTAAGTGAATCACAAGGGTATCTGAAGTTACATTAACCAAGGGTTTTCAATCCTCATGCTTCACAGCATAGACTGATCACCAGCCAGGGCCACGGAAGGAATGCCCATCCCCGAATTATGGGGAAAAAGGGGGACTTAGTTCAGTCTTCTTCTGAAGCATGTGGCATTGGCCTATGTCAGAAACAGGACACCAGACAAGATGGATGATTCATCTGCTCCTGTAAAATGGCAGCTCCTGTGTAATTGTTTCCCACCGAAGAGCTGTGATGGAAATCGCAATCATCATTTCACTCACTATGAACTAATTTGTGCGTGGTTGCTTTCATATATTTCAGCCCCCACACATATACACAAAGTAAGCCAGATCCTCAGCTAGTATAAAGTGTCAGAGCTCCATCAAAGTCAATGGAACTATGACAATTTACCTCAATAGATGATTTTACACATATATAAAGTGTACAGAACATACTCTCTGGGTGTATGAAATACATTGTCCTTTCTACAAGGCCAGTTCCCAATGAGTTGGTGACGCCAAATGAATTTGGGAGAAAGCTTCCTATGCCTATCTGGCTATACAGAGAAAAATCTGCATTCTTCACTGTCAACTTAAGAGAATGCAGGCGCTCCAGCATGGCACATTTCACAATTGTTGCTGCATTGTGCCAGCATCCATCACATAAAATAGTTAAATCTACAGCCATCATCCAGCATGCAACAAGACATGAAATCCTTGTCACGCAAGGCCACCATGAGATCTGTGCCTCCAGCAGTGAAAATAGAAGGCTGGCCTTCTCTCGAATAGCAGACCCTGTTCTTATGACAACATTCTGGCCCATTGGCGTCATTTCTTAAAAACTATACAACTGAGACTTCGTCTTAGACTGTGAATATCATATTTGAGCAGAACAACAGTCTACCTACATCCATGCCCTGTCTCTGACAACGGTCAGTGACGGATGTGTCAGAGGAAGCCATAATACCTATAAAATTGATCTAATTGTGATAGAGTGGGGAGAGAAGGAGAGTTTTTCCTGATCATGGCTGGTGATCTACCTGGGCTGTGAAGCATGAGGTATGCTGTGGTCACTCCTCTTCACACTGACCTGTACTGTCTCATCATTACCTTGTACTTCCCTTTGTCTCTTCATTTGTACTTAGACTGTCAACTCTTTGGGACACCCAGGGACCATCTTTTTGTTCTGCTTGTACAGTGCCAAGCTCAATGAGACCCTGATCTCGGTTTGGGGTGCCTAGATTCTACTGCAGTACAAAAATAGATGGATTGATAGATGGATTAGATGAAGATGGAGTGCCCTTTTGATTTTTATCCTAGTGGGTGTATTATGTATTATTTTTCTTGTGTAGCACTTGGGAACCCTAATCCTGGACCAAGATGCCATTGTGACAGGTACTGTACAAACACAGAACAAAGACAATCCATGCCCCAATTACAATCTAAGTATTGCAAATTCTATTCTGTATATGGCCCCCATAATTAGAGCATCTCAAAGTATCAATGAATTATTCTCAACACCCCTTAATTCTCTGTTGTGAGGACATGACAGGTGTAAACCCTTAATTCTCCAATTCCTGGCTTACTTCACTTTGGAGGGAACACATTCCAAACCACTGGTACGCACCTACAGTCTTAACTTCACTTTAAGGTTTTTCTGGGGGGGGAAATAATCCCATTTTGCAAAGGTTTCCAATTTAGTAGCTCCAGGAATGCCCTGCAAAAGTGAGTTCTACAGGCGTATACACTGTGTTAAGAGTACTTCCACACGGACCTCTCAGAACTGGTCACTGTACCTGTCCCATCTGACACCCAGAAAGGCAGCTGTTCTCTGTTCTCCAGATCGGAGAATTACAGCTCAAATCAATCCCAAACAACATCCCCTAGTGCTTGTTTAGAGGTACTCACCACTGATGCGGTATTCAGCTATATTACTGTCCATGTCCAACTCTATTACTCTCAGCTAGAGAGACTGCCTGAAACGTACAAACAAAAGTAGTCAGGAGAGGAGAAGCACACAGAGAAGAAAGGTATTTGATCTCTCACGCAAGAGCATTTCCAATCAGTCACTGGATTTAAATTCTGCCCTGTGACAGATGACCACAGTGGAAAACCAGGGCTTCTGCCACAGGGCGTGCATAGGGAAGGGCCTTGGTGAGCATCAGAGAGATGTGCTTGGAAGGGTTACCGAGAAAAGGTTGGCCATTTCTCCCTCTCCTCAGCCACATAGACTCTCCCTGGCCTGCTGCCCTGCATGTGAGGTGCTGGTTCAGAGACTGGGTGGAGGACAGGAGAAGGAGGGAGACACTGGAATCCTGCCTAAGAGGACAGGCAGAGGGTCAGCCCATGACAGACCTGGTGGTGGAGGTATCTGCCCCAGACTGCTGTCAGTTTCACAGCTCATCTGGCTGGCACTTTCTTCAAATGTCCAGCACGCCAGGGGCTTTACCAAAACCAGGGCTGATCCCTGCACACAGGGACTGGCCCTGCCAACAAGGACACTACCTGATTTCAGGGGCATGGCACTCTATATGTGACCAACATAGGGATGGGCTCAAACCAAACCCTGGAGTCAGACATCCCCTTCTCCCTGCAACTTTCTGGGTGGTAGGAATCCAAACCCAGACCTCAGTCTGAACACTGGACTAAACCCAGACTCTGTATATGAAACCTACATGTTCTAGAGCTCCAGCCCCAGACCTCAATTTCTCTTTAATGCAGGAAGGGGGAGAGAGAGCACTAGCATTAGCAGAGAGAGGGTCTGGGCACTGTGGCTCTTTACTCAGAGCCTGCTCAATTGCAGCGGTGGCTGCTGCTGGACTCCAAGGCCTGGGTTTGACTTTCGGTCACGCAGCCCAGAGAGGGACTGGAGAGAGCTGCTTTTCACTTGACATTATAAGTGATGCACAATAGATACGTGGGAATATGCCTGTGACTATTTATAGGCCTCACCCACTTCCACGCCCCTCCCCATCCCTGCCAAAAAAAAAGGTTTTTTCGATGAAATTTTTTTTTCCACACCATAACGAAATGTAATTTTGGTCAACATGTTTTTCTTTTCAATTAAAATAGTTGTGGCTTCTGTTTTGGTGGGGAGAAAAAAAATCCCACTTCGACTCCTCTCCTTCCCTTTCCACAACAATAATTTCCCCTTTTTCACCACTGAGGGGGAAAAAAATATGGGGAGGAGAGGAAAAGAAAGGAATAAATGGAGAAGATGGGTCCCCCCCCACCAAAATATTATTAAACAATTTAAATTAAATTTAAAAAATGGTTTCTTTCCATATTTTCCTATGAAATATACTCACCTTTTTTCAATCACCTCTGATTATTTATATAGGGCTAGTACCATCCAGCGCCCCTCTCAACTCATATATTACCCCTATTACTTCTCCATTCACATGCACACAACTCCAGACGGCCCCACACATCTTGGGAATAACAGGCCGCCTTAGTCAGACCACGAGGCTACATTCCCCTCCTCCTGCTGACCCTGACTGGGGTCTGCACACAGTGCTATATAGTGCTATTTGCCACAGCCCATTGTAAGGGCCAAGGGGTAGACACCACCCCAAGGGCATCTGGCCATAGAGAGAGACTCTTCCTCCTGAGGCTCCCCTGTTTCACTAGGGAGTGTCATTTGGGTCACTCCTTTATGGGGTACAGCATAACCCCTCCCCCCATGCCCAGCCAACTCCATTGGCTAATCATAGTGGGGGCACAGTCCCTGCCCAATCTCTCCCCACCCACGTGGCACGCAGTCCCTGCATTGCTCCAAGCACCTGGAGCTAGTGTTGCGAGGATAAATACCTTAAAGGTACGACATTTCTCGGGTACTACCATAACAGGAACGATCTAAATACCCAAGACAGCTAGGATTGGACTGGAAACTACATGAGCACAGGGCATCCAACCCTTAGCATGGGTTTTAGCCTGGTGGGAAATTCCATGAGAATAGCATCCCAGGGGGCATTCCAGACCTTCCCCTCCTGCAGCGCTGCATGACATGCAGGTGGTCTCCTGGGGAAAGTCTTGATCAAAACCTGCCTCGTGTCTTGGTCAAAGTCCAGCAATAGAGTTCATTGATTGCTCAGTTCAACCTTGCTAAACTACTGCGCTATAAACTGCCAACCAGATTCTGATTTATCAGTCATTGCTGAGGTCTCCTTTCTGTGTGGAAGAAGAATTACAGCTCCCTTCCAGATGATGGATGTTTTGGCAGAATTTGGCCCATTTCTCTAGGATTTGGCCTCCAAATGTCTTTGAGAGGGCAATGGCTCTGCTGCCTTTCACAGGGGATCTCCACACTCCATCATCTTCCCCGCTTTCCCCACCTCTCTGGCTGATGGAAAGGTGACGGGTACATTCACTCTGCTGGCGCTAGGTGTGCTTGTCATGGTTCTCTTCCTGTTGGGAGGCCTAAAATTTAGATCACTCTTCCACAGACAGTCAGGAAGGAGGGACTTGTGCTTAAGTCACTGGTCTGGGACCCAAGAGCCCAGCCCTCCTGCAGACTCCCTGGGTGACCTCAGACAAGTGACAATCTCTGGGTCTCAGTTCCTCAACTGTAATGTGGGGATAATAATACTTCCTTTGCCTGTGTCTGTTCAGACTGTAAGCTCTTCGGAGCAGGGGCTGTCTCTGCCTAACTACATGTACAGCACCTAACACGGTGAGGCTTTGCTCTGTGGGGCCTCTAAGCACCACCGTAATTCTACTAACAGCCAGCCATTGGGCTGTTTTCACCATGTGAAGAAAGAGCAATTGTTTGGACTTGTTGAACCCAGCTGGTGAAGTGAGCCCTACCCCCTAGTCCTTTTAAATCTCTCTTTGAACGGACTCCTCCACATCAGAGCCCACAGGAGGCTTATTTTCCCCAGACTTTTCACCCCACCCCCACCCCTTTTCCACTCTGTTTTTAAGCATACATGCCTGTTGCACTGTTCAGCTTCCTCTCTCACTGCATCTCATATTTCACCATTGTTTGGCTCCTTGCTAAGTCTAGGTGGTTCTGTTTTGGAGAATAGACAGCTTGCCAATTCAATAGAGGATCAGTGTTTTTCCTAAATCACTCCAATGTATCGATTCTGCCATACCCAGTCAATCTATTCTTGCAGCAGGGGCTGTTTATTACCTCTGTGGCCGGGAGGAATTTTCCAACATGGTGCCTGGCTAATTTGCCGGGCGCACTCTAAATTCATTGCCTCTGCTACATTTAGGTAGAATCTTCGCAATGCCATATGTTTTTAAGGTGCTTTATCCAACACAGCTATGCAAAAAGACCCTTGCCAATACACTCACAGTACAAGGCCTATTGCAGATCATTAGAAGATGCCAATAGACAAAACCCCAAAGTTTTTAGTTTATACGCAGGGAGAACATTCCCTTAAAACCTCTGCATAAGAATGCCGACTCCATGACCCTCCTCAGGGCAGACTGTGGGCTCCTGAGATAGCTAGCAGGGGTGGATTTGGCCTGGTATGTTCCCTCTGCCATTGCACAATGCCATTCTACTTGGCAGAGTAAAGTCCCTCTTGAACTGGGGTTGCTAATTAATTGTTAATTTTACATGGGTGCTTGGTTGCTCAGGTAGATTCTTTCCATTGCCAGTGTTCAGCTACAGTGCTCGGGAAAGGCTTGCGGCTTCCAGCACTGGTGTTCTGTTGTGTTATTCGTCTCACTGCATCAGAAAAGATTAAACTAGACAATGAGGAAAATTCACAGAATGATTAGCCTGTCAGACACTATCCACAGCCCAGGATGCTTTGCGTAGTCATCCTTCTACAGCTGGGCCAGGGGGCTTTCACAGAGTCACATACGCACATTAAACTCTTCCAAGCACAGAGATGTCAGTGCTAGGAAGCACTGCTAGAATATCAAGTGGATGGAATTAAATCTCCAGTTGCACCAGGGTTAAAGTAAAGACTTGTCTGGCATCCCCAGAGGACCGTGTCTACAGGTGGGCTGTAAATTCAAAGCTACTCTGAAGAATAAGCAGCCTCTCAAAGGGAAAACATACATGAAGAGCTGGAAAAAAAAACTGCTGTCACTTGAACACTTGACAAATCTCCCTGCCACCAGTGCCAAGTCATAACGCTATGCACCTTGGATGCATGGGATAAGCAGGAGTCAAACTTAGCACGACTCACAGTACAATGCGCCCGTGCAGTAACTAAGACTGACACAGACTCCTTCTGGGGCCCTGGGTAAACTACTCTGCCTCCGTTTTTTCATCTGTAAAATGGGGATTTAGCTAAGTATTGTAATCCCCATTTTACGAACGGTAAATCTGCAGCAGGGAGAGGGGTAACTGATTGGCCCCAAGTCAGAGAGAGTCAGTGTCAAAGGGGGAGCAGAATTCAGGAGTTTGTGGCTTCCAGTGCTGTGCTCAGACCAAGAGAGATCATGTCTGTCTCAAAATCAATGCTTTGGGTCTGGACTGTCCTCACGTTATGGTAACAGCAGTCACGCTGGAGTGAGTACAACCATTGCGGCTGCTGCCTGGAAGCCTCTCCCTAGGCTGCCTGCTGGATATACCTGTGTAACACCAACAGACCCTGGTTGCCGGCGAGCAGGATTGAACCGGGGACCTCTGGAGCTTAATGCATGAGCCTCTACTGCATAAGCTAAAAGCCACCTGGCTGTTAGCTAAGACCACAGAGCAAACTCATTCATCTCTATCTCTTCTAAGTGGTCTCGGTGCCTCTAGATGGGACAGTACACCACACCCAGGTATGTGGGTTACACCTGCACATCCAATCGGAAAGACAGAAATTCAACAAAACCCCATGGAATGAGTCTCTGACAAAGAACACATGCTAGCAGGATAAACACCTGGCTCCTCTTTCCAATTAAGATTTCAGCTTGGCAATCAGCTTCCAACTCAGCAAGTGGCTCCTACAACGGCAAGCTGTCAAGGTGACAGATTCCCTTTGGTAAAAGTCAAGATGAGGCAGAGTCTTTTCCACCCCTACCC